GCGTCCCCGGCAAACCTTTGTGGACATGGGGAAACGTACGCAGACGGGTTAGGTCGTCGTGGACGCGACGGGCGAAGAGTACGGCACGGAGGTTTGTATACCTCAAATTGGGGTTCTTTCTTTGAGGGTGAAAAAGAGATAATTAGCCTGAGAATGCCTGAGAGAGGAAGACTTGATTCCTCCTTTATTGAAGTGACGATATGCTACGCGCCAATGCCGCTAGACCCTCATGGAAAAGAACAAACATTGTAACATTGATATGGTATATGCCATACATGAGTGTTTGGGTATGTTTGGGTATTGACGAGGAGGGATGTTGGAGTCTGGGAACTTTGCAGTACTTGAGTGGGAACAAGTATGTAACATATATGCAACATCTATTCCGGCCTCTTGAGGACGAGCTGCTTGCCAGTTTAGGGCGTGCAAGAACGACACCTCGATGGGACCAGAGTTCCGCGCAGGAAAGGGATCAGATCCATCAGTACGTCATGGTGTCCTTCAGCAACTTCAGCAACGGCCAGGGCATCCGAGAGTGTCCTTGGACAGTGCTGACAAGGACAGTGAGTGACAAGGACTGATTTGGCCCTCAAGGACTCTCAAAGGTGAAGGTTTGGAGGGTCCAAACCCCTGCGTCAAAAACCTCCTTCTTTTTTGCTTTTAGATGTTTTAAAGAATTTCGGCTCTGTTTGTTGAGCTCAATCTCTTAACCCTAGGGTCCAATGAAACTTTGGGATGCGAAATGGGTGCTAGCTGCTATTGCTTAGCTGGGGAAGGGATGATGTCCATGGAGTCCATCGGGCATCAGGTTCCAACATGTCCATGGACAAAATCAGGTTCCATCAGGTTCGGACTTGGCTGAGAAGGCGTCCAAATACGCACGAGAAAACAATGAGGATTCACTCGATTGGACGAGGTGTCCTTACACGGGCAATCCAGCCGCTTCAGCCCAAGCAGATCTGGATCTGCCTTCTCTGCAGATCTTCTGTGTTGGACCTGGACCTACAGTAGCAGTGAAGACATGGACCATGAAGTGGTTTCCCAACCTGGACGTCTTCTGCAGTTCGTTTTGGTGCATCCCTTTTTCAACGGATGGATGGGGGATGGATGGGGATGGATGTTATGCCCTGTGGCACCTCTTGGAACACCCCAGGGATGGCCATCCTGAAGCAAGTTCTCACTCAGCTCTTGCTCTACTACACCCGGCTACAAAAGGCCACCCGGCGCACAAAAGCGCGTGCGGTCGTGGGATCAGATGGGGATCAGATGGGAAGACCGGGAACTTGATGCTTTTGGATCATGGGAACTCGACGCTTTTGCATTCGGAATCATTGATCACTTCATTGTGGTCGTTTGAGCGTTTGGCTTGAAGTCCTTCAATTCTTGTGATTTGCCTGATGGCTTCAAAGTGTCTTTGATGATCTAAGAATCAGGCTTTCAGGCTTTTATTTGGGGGGGTTCAAACCCTAGGGTCAAAGGCCACCAGTTCGTTGGGTCCAATGATGCCTAGGGTAGTTCAGTTCATATGCCTTGCATGAGAGTGCAGTTCTGAGCCTTCATGATCTCTTCTATCCCGGAGAGAGCGTGCCCGTGTGCTCATGCCCGCTGTAACAGGTGATCCACAAGGCCTTCCCCCAGCAACCGCCGGCCTTTGCCAACGAGATGGTCTCCAATACCACGCGCCTTGACTCGCGTGGCGGGTCGTCAGGGTGGCCATCGAAACCACACAAAGAGGATGGTGGATGCTGGGGTCCTGAGGTGAAAACGACCGATGAGACTCCAAGTTTCTGCATGCTTGGAGGTCCCAAAGTCTGGAGTATTAGGAAGGTCGAGGTAGGCTGAACCCAGCCAACTGTTTCAGGTATTGGTAAGGCTCGCGTCTCCAAGTATCCCTTTTGTTGCACGACTTGTAAACAGCCATAAACACCATGTGGGTGCAATGGCTTCAGACCGCTAGAGCTCCCACAGAAAGTGATAAGTTAACTTGTTGTTCACAGTATGTTTTTCTTACATGGGCAACAATACCTCTTGATACGCCAAGACAAGTGAGCTGTTGGTGTATGTGTCCTAGACAATCTAGGAGTGCTTTGGGGGCGATGTCTTTGTGAAAATAAGGAAACGACAGTAGCAATTGCTCCGCAGTGGAATCGAAGGTCTACCTGTTCAACGCATGACAATCGAAGGTCCTGCTCATGTCATTAATTCCATCTCGCTCTTCCGCCGAATCGCACGCCATCGCACGAAAGTCTCTGTTTCACAGAGAGGCGCGCGCCAGGCGGGGGGGGCATCCTGCCAGCTATCTAGCGTGTTGGAGGTGTTTTGACATGTTGATTGTGAATGGGGTCAAAACATGTCAAAATTGGAGCCTGCCCTGGTCCACCAAGGCCCAATGACCTTCCAAGTAGGTCAACCAAGGTCCTGGTTGGTCTCCTGGTTTGGGCCCAGAGCCAATCAGTTGTGAGTTGAACGACCAAGCATAGGTCATTGGGCCCACCAAGTGCCACAACCCTTAAAGATCCTTATATAAGGTGTCAAAGGTCTGGGATATCAGACCATTGGTTTCCTTCAAACTGGCTTCACTCTTATCGTCCAAGAGTTCTTGAAAAGGCCACCTAAACCGAGAAAACCGGAGCTCTCTCGGTTTTCGAGGTGGTCGGAAGCAGCAGGGGATGTGTAAAAGCACTCCATTTACCCTCCCAGCAAGAAACATGATTGTTCCAGGGAGTGTATATATGGGAAGGGATTCAGACAGCGCTGAAGCTGTTCCCAGCATGATCCCAGCTGATTTTTGGCCGCATCCGCCCGCAAGTTTGAGGATTCTGATGGAGTCAGCCCGTCTGAAGTTGAGAAGAGGGGGTGACGGTCAAGCGCTGTATGACTGTGTGACTGTGAAGAAATGAACACTTTGCCTTCGCAGCTCACCTCTAGAAAGACTCGCAACAGTTCATCCATGGTGAACTTTCATTACTAACTTATCACAGTTGGACGTAATGAGCATATATCAATGAAACTCCATCTCTCAATGAACGGCGCACGTTTTATTGATCTACCTTTAGGTGATCAATTTGTTCGTCTTTGTTCAAAGTTGGCAATACTTATCAATAATGGACACAGTTGATAGGGGTGTCCGGGGAAGACATCCCTGTTCGGCCGGAAGAAGGACAATTGACAGACCCCAACCCCCTTGGTGGGAAGTCTTTCTCCAAAAAACACACACCTATCACCAGGACCTGGACCGGACCGGACCTGACCGTCCTTGCGATCTGTAGATGTGAAAGGTCACCAAAACTTAGGCCTGTGAAAAAGGCTCTATGAGACTTCAAGGCTCTGAGGAGACTCTAAGGCTCTAAGGAGGTCATGAAGACTTCAGCTCCGGACTTTCGACTTTCTGCTCTTTCTCTTCTCATCACAACCGCAAACACGACCCTTTTTTCGAAGCCAAGTTACGACCGGCCAGGGTCCGGCGCGACAACTTCGCGTGAGGGAGAGAGATGCTGAAGAACATCTCGGTCGGAGGCAGTCGGAGACCGCACCTGATAACCAGGACCCATAACCTGGAGGAAGGAGAGTGAAGGATCCATTGATGTGACTGAGCATGTTTCTACCGAGGTGAACGGCATGTTAACTTGTGTTTGTTTTGGGGTCTGGCGATGTCTTCTCTTAGAGGGCAAAGTTTTCATGGTTGCTTGTTGGAGGGCTTGTGTGTTAGCGGCCACATGCGGCCACATGGTTTGATCGGTTCCACGTCGTCTTCGGTAGCTACAATAAGCTTTGCCAGCAGCTGGTCTCATCAAGTACGGCTGCTAAAACCATCACGTTTGGTCTGATTCACAGGGTCGGGGGAATCATCCAACCTCAATGGATGTAACAGATTGATAATCCAACGACTAATCCATCCATTGGCCTTTAGGTTCGTCAAGGGGCCACAGATGGCTTCTGGATGCTTCTTGAATGTAACATAATGTAACAATGGTCTTGTCACGGTGTGTCCCAATACCAGTAACAGTCGGCAAAAGGCTATCACAGTGGCCATCACCACTTTTGAGATTGAAAGGCCTGCAACCTAACCCAACCATCATCGTCCTTTTGTTGGATTCATAGCAGGAGATGCCCCCATGGTCATTAACATGTTTACCGTTTACCTAATATGATATGCACTTGGGGTGGTTGATTGATTCATTGCGCCGCCTCTGTCCACACGTCCGGTCTTCTGCGGCTAGTCCGGACGGGACGGGGACTTTGAAAGGGGGCATTCTCACTGCTTAAAGCTGTTGAGTTGATGAATCAGTGGAATTGTCCTGGTTCAAGGAACTACAGTAGCATCCTTCATCCTGTTCAGAGAATTGCCTAATCCCCCCCTCATTGGTTCTTTCGGTGTCTTTTGGATGTTTTTGGCACTCGTTCGCCGTTCGCCCACCGTCGAACCGTCGTCGAACCGTGCTTTCACGACGGACCTGATGCCTCGACGGTGCGGACGGACCTGACGTGTCGACGTCGCCTGCATCATCATCCACTCTGCCAATATAAGTATAGACAGTGGTATAGACCCAATGCATATACCCAGATACGAACTCCTATGTTAGACTTCTCACGACTTGCTCTATCTCGCTATTCTACGTTCCCTTCTCCCAACGAAGGCAGAAACGACCGACCAGCCGCCGGTGTGCTCCTTCGGCCAGGCCGATGCGACCCGACCACCGGTCGCGGCACGGACCGAGCACGGCGGAAAGAGCGCGAGGGGAACCGGTGGACCGGGCGACCGGCCGCTGGCTGTGTAGGGTGCGTGATGGGGTGTAGGGTGTGTGGGAGTTGTAACCATGCTTCACAGGTGTGAGAATGGTAACCGCTTCAGGGCCTGAACGACCCATGGTGTGAACCTGGTGGATGGCTTGAACGATCCATGCCCCAGACGTTGGGTTTGATCGAACACAGATCGTATCGTTGTTTGGTTCTATCATGCAGACGGTGAATGGATGAATTATGATGAATTACTGTGCCCCTTTTTGAGAATCAGAACCAGGTTCACGCTCCAACGTCAGTTTGTATGATCAACGATCAACAGTTGCGGTTGCTGGTTTCAGGAGGAAAACCAGCCTTGACTTTCCTACTGAACTGCCAGCCGTCAGCCGTTTGCGATTCAACGTGGCCTTGGATAGAGTCTAGAGCCAATTCCCGTGCTGCAGGCGGGCATTTGTTTGGGGGACAAATTGGCAAGGTGGCAGTTTCTGGCTTCAGTGACAGCTGTTGTCAAATTGCCACAAAGGCAAAGATCAAGGTGTTCCACATGATGATTATGATGAGGATGTGGGCCCATCTCCTTCAGTAGCGCTGTTTCCCTTCACTGTGCAGATGCTATGGAAATGATGAAGAAACACTCGCTCACTCACTCAGTTATCAGTCAGTCACTCACACACCCAATCACCATTGCAGGACCTGACAGAGGAGAATGACAAGAATAGGCATGTGCTGGAGAACTCATACTCCCTCTGGAACTGACACACAAGTCCGCAGAAGAAGGGTAGTTGTTTTTGAAGTCCGCTACAAGTCATAATATAGTATACAGGGTTGGTACAGTGAACAGGAATCACTGGAAATGAAACTGGTCCTAGAAGAAGGTGACTTACCCTTCTTGAGAAACAAAAAGCATGAAAAAACAAACTGACACTACCACCGCGAACCACCAAAACAACACAAATTCCATTGGTTTTGAACTAACTATGGTGCAAGAGGTTTTCCTTCATTAGCGCACATGAATGTAACGCGGGAGCGCGCGTGACTTTGCCCGCCGAGCTGCTCTGCTGCTCGCGGGTGAGGCATGTCGAAGAGCGGAACCGTTAAGACCTGGAACGATGAGAAAGGCTTTGGATTCATCGGCAGGGAACCCTGGGAGATTCTCGCAGACTCGCTCTTCACGGCGGTGGAAGATATATTTTTTTCCGCGATATGTGATGCAAACTGGCGTGATATGATCTGTGGTGGAGTGTTTTGTGTTTTTTTGACGTTGGTGGTTTGCGGGCATGGGTATCAAAATGACAGTCCAATATATAAGGATCAAACATAAATTACTATCCTATTATCAGGATCAAAAGATTCTCATCATCAAAAGTCTATTAGGAAGGAAAGAAGGAAGAAACGAAGCAAGGAAGGAACGTCCAGGAAGCAAGCCCTAGATTGAAAAGAAGGGTATTGTATTGTGTCAAAGCACTTTTCAAAACAACCCATGGGTCAATTCTAGGAACAGAACAGGGCTTCGCTATGGCTGAGCCCAAGGACCTATTCGCCCAGACACAACATGCTTGCTAACCTAGATGGTCTCTTTCTTCAAACATCTTCAAACCATTTTCCTAGATGGCTCACCTCGTACTTTCGTTTCTCGCAAATGGTCGACTGTTTTTTGCTGGGCAAAAAAGCCCGCAACATTTGCACCGGGATTCCGATCTTGTCTACTACGAAATCCGTGGCTGAGAGTGGAACCGGATCCGTGAGAGTGGAACAACGAAAAACTCATGGTTTGGCTGCAGTCATGGGGGAGGCCAACAAACACACAACAGGCAGCAAAAACCTAGAAATGTATAGAAATGTTTTGTCCTGTAATAGTTATACATGACCTGCTTTCACACGGAACCCCTACTCCATGTTACGCTTTGGTGGCTCGAGAACGCAATTAAAGCTTGCAGTGATCATAACCTGTCACTGTGTAAAGATTACTGACAGGAGCGACAGCTATAATTAGATTCTTTTTGTGTGCTGCTGGTTCTGCCAGAAAGCACAGTCTTTTTGGAGCCGCCGGCTTTGCATGCTGGGGGCAAGTGTTTGTGTGCGAAAAGTCTTGGACAAGCTTTAGGCCGTTGCACTCTCTTTCAATTCCGGTTTAGGAAAAATATTGTTTTTTTTTAGTTTCATTGGTATTTTTTAGATCCTGATAATTGTTTGGTTTATCCTCTTATTTGGTTTGCGCCCCCGACTGCTCGACCCGGGTGGGGAAAAGAAAGAACCATCAAAAAGAGGGCTAGTTCTCTCCGACTAGTTCTGCTGACTGTATACCTGGACCTTCAAAGAGGTGTCCTGCCTGGAGATCCATAGGTAGTGTAGGGGCTTCCAGCAGGTGACCCCTTTGAAGGTGCTGGTATTATATATATATACACTGTCTCATGTTCGTTTCTTGAAGGGGCTTAGGCTTAGGCCAAGGAGTGTTGGTGTTGTCCCACTTCGGCTGCCCACCCAATACCACCGCCCCCAAGTCCCAGGGTGGTCTGACACTTGTTATATTTTTGTCGAAGGTCTCCATATGCACATGGAATTCTATTCATTTCCATGCTGGAAGGATTCCTGCGAAGTTCACCGAGAGCATTTGTGTTGATAACAGAAAGACCTTTGCATGGACTGGCAGTGGGGGACCGCAAACGTGAACGTGTATGATGTCGACACCGGATTAATCAACCCCCCCTTCAAGGTCAACTAGGTCAACAAGGTTTGGGATTGGAAGGATTGGAGACCACATCCCCTTAATAAAGATGATGACCTGATGATGGATGATGAGATGAGGACCTGGACCTGATGATGGATGATGGTTGATGGGATTCTGTGGGAATCATGAGAGTTTGAACCATGAGAACCATGAGGGCTCTGAGTGTATTGGCAGAAGCTTGATAAGAGATAGGATAGATCAGAGAGCCATGCCAATTGGATCATTGCATATCAGAGCATGGAGGATGAGGAATCGAAGGTGGAGGCTATTTGTGGTGAGGGTGGATCCATGGACTGGATGGTCAGATTGGTGGCCTGTGGAGAATGTGTATGACCTTAAGCCTTATGTCCTTCGACACCCAATGGGAGAGGGATCAGAAGATTCAAGATGAGTACAATAGTATGGGCCTTCCAATATGGGGGGAGCAGACGGTGAGATGATGATGCATTGGCTTGATGAAATTGGTGCCATTGTGGTTGAGTGAGGAATTGGGTGGGTGAAGCAGCTAGAGGGGGAAGATGGCAGCATTGGCTGAGAAGACGCAGGCAGCCAATAAGAAGATGACCAAGATACAGGAGGATGCTTGGAAATTGGTGAATGAGGGAGGTGTTTTGAGGTGGAAGAGCTCCCATCAGCTTGTTTGAAACCCAAAGCCAAGATTGAGTTGGATGGATTGGGGTATGCAGCAAGTGCAGGTATGCCAGTGGGTGTATGGACTGCAATGTGTGGAATTGCACAGCCTATTGGATGAGGAGGGAAAGAGGCTGGGGAGGAAGATCGCATATGAGTATACATTGGCTGCACAGATTGCTGCTGGGAAGGATAAAAAGAGCAAGCAGAGTGATCAGAATGATTGGTGGATGAGAGGATCAGCATGGGAAAAGGGTTGATCAGAATGCTATCTCTCAAAGAGGTGGCATGAGAGAAGATCAGTTTCACCATGGACCAGAAGATTTTGGATACCGTCCAAAAAGAACATATTAGTTCATAAATTAAAGCCAATTTTATATATTTCTGGGGGAGCTGGGCTTGATTAATAGGGGAAGGTTTCTGCAAGGAAAAGGAACTATTAGGGTGATGTACCAGGGCTTAAATTAGTTTGATTTATAGGGGGTGTTACTTAATCCTCTTTCAACATTGAAGGTGTCGCTGCAACTTACAAAGGTACAGTCAAGGGCTCGTGTGACAGGACCAACCAAAAAATTAGGATTCAACATTGTTCTATAGAAACTAAGGCTTTCCTGAACATGTCCCTGCATATAGATAGAAATTTGTTTTCTGTTTGTGGTGCCCGTCAACCTCCAAAATCATCCGCATCCATCCGCGAGCGCCACCCAACTACCGCACATGCTTCGGCCTGAGGTCCAGACGATGACGGGGAGGATTTGTTCTGCCACCGTTCTGCCCTCAATGGACTCTTGGTAAAGCAAAAACGCCGAGAACAACCACTTAAATCTCTCTCTAACAGCGACAGGCGCATGAAAGCGCATGTGGCAGCGAAAAACATCAGCCGGTTGAAATCGCATGTTCGTCAGCACAATGCCGATGACAATCATTTGGGGCCAGAAAGGCAGACGGCACAATCACGGGACGTCCGGGAACTCGTTTTTCGGCGCCAAACGCACGAAATCCATCATTTGAGAGGCGCCAGGCGCGGGTCTAAAGAGGTGTTTTCGGAGATGTTTGATGATTTGCATTTGACTAAAGTGATATTCAAGTCATCTATTGATCAACACTCACTAATTGTACTACAGCTTCACCACTATATAAACAATTTGGCAACACAAATCTACATGCAGAAAGGATCATATTAAGATGTTCGGGCATGTTCGGGCCTGATTCTTTCCAGTGCCACAACCACTGTTCTAAGGTCTTGTTCTGTGAGTAGTGAAACGTTGTGAGACAATTGCACCCTCTTTCTGTCATGTCAGTCTTTGTTGAAAAGCTCTTCCACTCAGGATGCAAGGGCCTTGGGAAGGGGGACAAGGTGCGTTTTGAAGCGGAGTACGATGACCGGAAGGGCAAGATGCGGGCGGTGAACGTGCCACTCGGCGCGTTTGAACGAGCCGGGCGGTGAAGGGTAACAAAACGGCAACAAAACGGTGCCACAGGGTTGGAACGGGCTTTTGGGGGATGATGTTTTCTTGTTTGAAGTCTTCTTACTTGAAATATCTTCAAATTGATGTTAATGGAGGGAATCTTAGGGTCAAAGGGAACTTACATAGGTGCTATAGGATACAACATGATAATATATATGATGTATTGTGTTTTTTTTGTTTGTTGTTGAAGTGCTTTATTAGGGTTTTGTGTTTGTTGTTTATTTGTTCTATTATATATGTGTACTATTATGTTTTTGGTTGTTGTTGTGTTCTTTTCCAGTGTGGGGTAGATACAGGTGATGCCACATATGCATACATATGCATGTTTAAAGCATTTAGCACATGTTTTGATGTGGGCAGCAGATGCAAGTGATGAAACATATGCATTTTACTAGGGGGTTGGCACATGAACATGCAACAAATACTGCAATTTACAATGTTTTATGCACACTAGCGAAATTTGCATCCCTAGGAACACCCCTTCTGTATATATGTCTAGGCTATAGGGTTTGTCCTATTACCTGCAACAGTCGGCCAACCAGCAAATCACTCTTTTCGAGAAAGGCATTTACCATCCATCCATCATCCATCATCATCCACTGTTACTGGTGGAAATGTCCACTATGTGCATCCGACGAAGATTTTGGCTTCGCAAGGTCTGTGGAGGGCGGCGGCGGTGGCGGTGGCTATGACGACCGCCGCGACGACCGCCGCCGCGACGACCGCCGTGACGACCGCCGCGACTATGACCGCCGCGATGACCGACGGGACGACCGGCGCGACGACCGGCGAGACGACCGTGGCGGAAAGGGCAAAGGCGGAAAGGGTGGCTTGTTTGGCATGAGAGGGCGGAGAATGGGCAGAGAATGGGCGGAGCTTAAGGGATACCATGTCTCAATATTAGACATTCCTTTACATACTAGGTTGATTTTTGCTTGTATGTTTTTGTACCATGTTGTGGTTGTTGGGTAGGAGAGGTAAGCATGGCAAGAGTTCATATTCTATAATTAGGCGCCAAAGGCTCCGGCCAGAACTTTCTTCAGAATTTGCCGGAAGTGACATTCAAAAGTGATGTGAATCTGGTGAATGTTGTGCACCACAAAAACATCGTAGGAATGATTTGTTGTTGTATGTTGTCGTTTTTCGTCTTTTGTTCATGCCTATGTGTGTTGTTTCATGTTTAAGTTCACATACATATCAACAAACGATCATCATATCAACAAACGACTAGTTTTATAGATCATATCACTTCAAGTTCACCGTTCTTTCGATCAGTCCCGGTTCGTCCGTTCCTTCGATTGCGGCGTCCCCGGTGGGGCGGAACCAGCCGGTGATGGACTCTGTCCGGAACCATCTCTTGTCCCCCAACATGCAGACATGTGGGGCTTCTGTAGGAATCAGATAGTAAACCAGCTGCCAATCATACCCAAATAGATTCAATGGTGAAATCAACCTTATTATTGTATTGTGTTCACCTTGATACGCCATACTATTACTATCTATATATTACTTGTGTACATCTCAGGCGGCGGCGATCGCTTTGGTGGAGACAACCGTGGGGACGACATCAGCAATGGCGGCAACAAGCACTTGACAGCGCGCGAGTTGTTCATGAGGCACCCATCCTGGCACCGATGTGTTTCTCCCTCGGCACCGGTGTTTTTGTTTCCCCCCAAAAAGAAGGACATCAAGTCCCAAGTATCGTTTGTGGGATTGGTTTGTGGGAACAAGTCACTTGACGAACGACTGTGTCGATGTGCGACATGCTTTCGACTGGAGGATTTCCATGATGTTTCATGCTGTGCACAATGTGTGAATCATTAACAGTCGGAGAGAACACAGGAGGGAGCAAGGTCCCGGATTGGCACAGTCGGAGTCATCAAGCCGAGAATTTATCCGACGGTTCGCAAGAGTGATTACAGCAATTGGATCGGCTTTATGATGTTTGTGTTCTGCTGTCACACAACCAGGGAACTTGGACGTACAGGACATAAGCCACAGCTCGGGTCAGAACTGGTTTCGGAGCTCTACAAAGGTCAATGGATCAGTCGCGAGGGGTTCTTGGCGGTTGCGGTTCTGTTCTGTGGCTCTGACGAAAGAAGGGGGACTAGAATGTGAATTGCTATGTCATTCCATTAAAAATACAGTGCAGGATTAAACAAGTAAGTCTCCGGGCCTGAAGCTCAGAGCCTCTATCTTGGGGGTGTCCCATTACCTGTAACAGTATGTAAACAATTATCACTCCGATAAAGAAATGCCTGCAACCTAACCATCACCATCCACTGAAAAAAGGGGAATATATGCTATAATACCCAACCTTTGTCTACCAAGGTGTCGACACTTTCCTACAAACATGGTGCTCCATTTCTTGGTGCCCTTTCTTTCTTTGCGACAAGGTCCGTTGACAGCCTCATCCAGGGGCCGTGGATGTGACGACTGGGCAGTCTCCTTTTTTCGGGACCGGCACCCCGAGGGGTGGAACTGCTGGATCAAGTACAAGTGCCAGACGCTCCATGGGACTGCCGTAGGACTGCCGATCAGTTGGGGTGGTGGTTTGAGGGGGGTCTTTCTGGGGTTGGCATCTATTCCAGTCCCATGGAGCCCATATGGGAGCCTCTAAAGCCTCCGCCAACTCGCAGGCACGAGCGCGAGAAGCGCAGCAGCCGTCGCTCCTCTTCGTCCTCGCGCTCCCGATCCCCCCCGAGGCACGACGGCACGAGGGGGACATGGTCAAACAAGCGTCCATGGACACAACAACCGGCTATATGAAGCTATATGATACAATGGTGAGCGGACACAACAACAACATAAACAACAAACTAGATGTTTGATGTCTAATATAAGCTTGAGGTTGTTTTCTTGATTATTGTTTTTCTGTACATAATATGTGGAAAGAACACGCACTGATAATGTAAGGTTTTGCGATATGTTGCACAATAATTTGTATAGTCTGGGGATGTTTGGGGTTTGTTTGTAACCAGGAAGGTCATGTAATTTTCTTCTGAATGTCCAGCCTATATGACTGTAGTTTCACTTCGACGCATAGGAACTTTGCAAGCACAACAAACAATACATACAAAACCCTTGTTTGTATCAGCGTGTTCAAAGAAATTGAAGGCGTTTTACCCCAACACAGTATAATTATAGATGTTGTTGTTGTTGTTGCTGCCGTTGTTCCATCCTTTCGCTTTGACAGGCTTTTGTGGTTTTGGCAAAGATCTTGATTTGAGGAGTCTCACATAGTCTCACAAGTACCGGGATTAATGACGCTGCCGACGCTGCCGAGTCCATTCTCTTTCTTGGGACTATCAAAGTAATGACATAATATGACATATATATGAAGAAGCCGGTACTCAGTCAAAGATGGTTTGGGCAGCTTCGAAATGAACCCATGCTGACAACCTGCCACACCAAACTAGCTTGCAGCTTGCCACGATATTCGTCATGACGAAACCTCCGACGCCGCCGGGCCCCTCAAAACCACAGGGATTGGTTCGGTCGGGTCCCTCCTCTACTTTGCGGGGTCCAGGGTCGCGTTTGGGCGGGAACTTTTTGGTCTAGGTGACTTTTCCGACCTTGTGTCAAACGGGGGCTCGTATGTGTCGAGATGTCCGAAGATCAGATTACCCTCCGACTCCTAAGATGGAAGTGAAAAGACAAGTTGTGGACGTGGAGGAAACACATAGGTCTTCTGAACCGCTGATTTCCCGAATTCTGAGCATGCTGCTTTCCCCTAGGTATAGGGGGAATCACCCTCTTTCTTATTTTAGGGGAATCGCACATATCGCAGCACTTGGTCAGAGTCCCGGTCCAGGCCGAACCCTAGATCCGCTGCATTGAGCTATAATGAATCGTGCTTAGTCTTCGTAGCGAACCCAGTTTTACTTACTGTAGTAGAGTATTGGTACATGGCTGCTTTTCCCAACATGCGCTAGAAACACCTGGCCGCTGTCGTTACTGGTCAGGCGCCGCGAAAACTTTGCCTAGTTGCGATGCCTTAATTTATGAAATGATCTGTGGAGGCTGGGGCTGCCTTCAGTCAGCTTTGTGAGTCTTTGATAGCCAGTTGCATGTGGGGGGTGCTATCCTTGGAGGATAGGGGTACTTCATTGGACGGGTCCAAAAGCCACTCCACCATTCGGAACTGCTGGTTTTCTTTTTGTGCATCCCATGCATGTACTCCTGGTGCTTTGTGGAGAATCATTTGTCTTTTGACGGATATCCACAATATCCGCTGAAAGAGATACATGGCAGCCAACTGGCAGTTACTCAAGACTCTTGCATACTGTGATTGCATATGATTGCATATGAACGAGGATTTTTTGAAGTCTCCACCAGTGCATTCATCCAGTCATCTCATCGCACCTAACTGGGTCCGATGGAAGTGAAAGCGAAATGCGTGACCTCACGACCTCACGTGCCTAAGTGCTTTCAAGGAAACATACTAACAAACAATAGTAGAAGTGAAGACATGGACTAAAACTGAAAGCCATGACCAAACCCGCCAGTCTGACGTCTCCCTATGCTGATACGAGTTTTGTGTTTTTTGCTGCGAAGTCTCCGGCAGATGAGTCAATTTCTTTGCTGAGCTCTGGTTGGTCTCAATACAATGGTTATTTCCCTAGGGCTCCTGTCCCATATCCTCAGGTGGTCAGACCCCCCTGGCACCTCCAACCACCCTGGAGATGTGGGGCAGGAGCCCTAGGGTTTCACCACCACAACAGGGGAACCATGGGGGGCCATGGGAGTCGACATGCCTCTCGGCACCACTGAGTTTGCAGCATCAGTTGCCCACCCAGTTCGCAGCATCTCCAGAACTCCCTCACAGTGATCACTCCAATGTCCAATTCCCACGGCATGCCTCAACCGGTCTCAGTCGCTGCCCAGGCCACGAAAAAGACCTCACGAAAATAGAAGACCGGACGGCGAATTTGGAAGGGATCGTTGATCCCTTTTTAACCATGCAGGCGAGCGATAGCATGCAACAGCCACAGCAAAAGTTCCGTGGCCGGTGCCCATGGGAAGGGGCCGTTGTGTAGGTGCAGGACTAGCTGTGAGATTTGAGTGCAGCTGTACAGCTGCATTGCTACAGGAGATTAACAGACAAGCACGACGCACAGTCAATTTGGGCATTGTGGCCTGCCTTCGTTCCATCTGCTACATGGCAGGCAGTAGTTTCATGCCGCTAATTTGTGCCATCACCCGAGGCCACAGAAGCTCATTATGAGCGCATCACGTGAGCTACATCCTACTATTTGAATGTTATATCCTATTCTGGAATTTGCTATGCTTCATATCAACAGAGAGTACAGAATATGTGAGAAACCACTCTTTCCCTTCTTTACTAAATGCAGTCTACTACATGCTCTAATTATTTGTTTGCCCCCCAAAAATGTATTGCTGGTGAACGAGATAGGCCCCCCAGATAAACCAAGATACATTTTGGTTGATGACACTACAGTCGTTTGCACGAAACACTGATTTACTACTGTAAAGTAGTCTGAACGAGATACTAAACGAGATAGGGCCGAATAAATGCTGCCCCAATATAATGTATATATATGTTCCATGTGACATGTAGTCCTAAAACCGAACGCGCCGAGAATGTTGGGAACAAGAATCCGGAGACTCATCCTGGCTTCGAAGCTTGGAGGAGTGCATCCCGGTGACGCATCACATGTAAAATGTAAACAGGGTGGTCCAAATCCAAGCTTGGAGTGGGAGATTGCCTTGCTATCATCTGCCATAATTCTCATATTGACCCCTTTACTAAAAGAAGGGAAAGCAAAACAAGCTCTTTGACCCATATATGTTGTTTCTCTTGACATGCTTCGATTCTGTGAGACGACTGGAAAGAAAACGATGGGGTGACTGACGGTGACTCCTGGCTCTGCTGGTCGTGGTGTGTTCTTTTTTTGTATCTCTTGTGTGTTCGGTGTTTTTTGCAACTCTAATACCCATTGTCATTTTGGAAGATACCCAGATGCAGCATGATGCAGCTGGAATTTGCTTTATGCTCGTGTTTTTGCAAGGGTGAACCTGCCAAAACAGGACAGGCTGTTCAAAAGCATTTGTTTCTGACAAGCGAGACGTGCTTCGGGTGGCTTCCAGTAGTCTCAGATGCCGGTTCCTAGAGCAATAAGAACCTGTAAAATCGTCGTTTCGGACTGAAATCATCCACCGTTTCTTCATTCAACATGGTGTTCTTTCTAAACCAGCGTTTGTGGTTTGGCGGATTTTAAGAACCCGAAAACCCATAGAACAACTGTAGAAACCGGTCGCGACCGGTTAAAAAGAACACTGTAAATCATGGCTAAAGCATCAAGTGTCCAAGCAAAAATCAAGCAACATATCAGCGATATCAGTGTGTTTCTTTCAACACAAAACATAATGTTCTCCTTGGGTATGACGTTTTTACAGGTTCTTGTTGCTCTAGGTTCCATGCCAGTAAGGTTGGAGAAAGATGCGATGTCCGATGGATTGGGGGATTGGGTGAAAGGCTCGAACCAGAAGCCAGAACCATAGTGATGGAAAGGAAGCGAAGCAGCTGACTAGAGGATATCCTGCCTGAAATAGAATCGATGCTTAGAGATTTTATATGTATATATAAGCAGCTGGTAACTACTCCTTCAAGCTATATAGATGGTTTCCGGAGAAACAGTTCTTTTCTTCCTCCACTTGAAGACACCACCGATTTCCAAGGGTTCCATGCGTGAAACAACGGTGCCAAAGCCTCACTTTCACCACCTTCGGTTCCTTCGCGGCCGGACCCTTCGGCCGTTCCGGTGGAGTTGGCTCAATCCCTGGGGGTGGCCCCTCTGCGCCCTTCGTCCGCCTTAGAACAGTTAGGCGGGGAATGGTCGACCGGAATGGGGTGGAACGGGTTCCATGGCGGGAAAAGAGCAGGTTTTGGGCGGCTATATAGGTGGAAAGGGGTGGACGTTTTTGGACATCGATTTAGTAGTATAGAGATATAGATTAGAGATAATGAGATAACACATATAATGTATTATAGGCATTGTATACGTCAATGTGTTTCTTATTGTTTCTTGGGGGGTTCTTCTATCTAGGGGATCATGATAAGATTGAGAGAGTGCATTAGGGCGCAACATTGCCTTCCGTCACACGGTAAGATTGCTGATCAAGTTTGCTTCTCCCAAACACTCCAAAGCGAGGGGTTTGATCCCACGGGTGGCCACGCCTCACTTCAGCTTGAATCGAACGAGAAGGCATGTTTTCAGTGAGAAACACCTCCAGCTCCATGCAGTTCGAAGCTGCCCCCCTCTTCCCCGGCACCAACGCCCGCTCGATGATGTAGACCCGGACCTTTCAGAAAGGGTCGCACCTTGCGCTGGCGACCTCGCGCGGTCGGCTGGGTCGCAGGCGGAGACTTCGGCGTGGGACCCATGTCGAAGAGCGGCACCGTCAAGACCTGGAACGACGACAAGGGCTTCGGCTTCATCGGTCCGGACGACACAAGGGCGACGGGTAGACGGGAGAGGAGACGAGGAGAGGGGGAGCAACATGGCAACATGGAGCAAGTCAGAGCAAGTCAGTCCGGCTGAAGCTTTCTTTCGTCGGGATTTGGGGGGGTGGAAGAAGACGGTCAAAGGGATCTGTTGTATTCGCGAGAGAGGGCTCCCCGTTTTTGGCGGGGAAAAACAAACATGTATAGGAAACACATCTGAGGGTGGAGATTCTTACAAAGGAGTGTGATGTTTTTGGTGGCTTTTTGCTCAAAAGCGGGTGCGCTTTCCTGACTTGAACGCTTTCCTGACAGAAGCACGCAGGTCCTGAGGATGGTGGAGAGGACCTATTTTGCCACACCTCATCCTTGCGGGGATGCAAAGGCCTTGGAAAGGGAGACAAGGCCAGGAACCATGCCGTTCAGAATGGATGGATTGGGTGGATTGGCCATGGGTGGTGCAGCACTCATGGGGTGTGCTGGAGCGGTGGGCCGTTTGCAGGGTGTCCGGTTGAAGATGGAACCAACCCAGGCAGGTTGCAATAACTGGCTAGACTTCAACGAACATGGACATCAGTGACATATTTCAATATGGAGAAGAGATGATCTGTGTTTTTGGAAAGTGGTGAGCTTTCCTATAGCGGTAAATGTGGTCCGATGCACTGAGCATGTTTTGATGTGCAGACCTGGGCCCACTGGGCCCTAGACCCCCGGTCTGGCTTTGGTCATCTGGTTTGGGCAGAGCTCGAAAGTCGGTTGGCAGGTGTTCATTTCCTGGTGAGGTTGCCAGATGCCTTGAGCAACTTAATACGGGAACTGATGGTTTTTGTTTGGAATGTGTTGGAGTTTTAACCACTTTGACTCACAAACAATAGCCTGGCAGTGGTCCTCACTTGATTGCTCACATCGAGGTCACGTTGTGGGTCAAATGACCGTAGGCCCTGTGCGCCATGTGGACGGGGCAATGACCAGGCAACAGTGTTGCCCGACCCCCCCACAGGCTTCTTTCTGAATTTCGAAGGATCAAGCACCAGATAGCCCCATAGGGCCCCCCATACATTTCCTAGAAGGGACGCAACAAAGTAAAGGAAACTCCATTTCGGCTCACTTAAACAATGTCAATGATTGGTCTTGAACTTCCAATGCATTGGACTAACGGCTTCATTCGAATCATTCGAATCTGTCTTCCCCCCCGCACAGAGATCGCTCGCTCGGCCCCCCATGCTGCGCTCGGTGTTTTCTTTCCCCTTCAACCCTTCGGCGACGAACGGAACCGGCACGACCGGGCCACGGAACGACCGGGCCAGGTGCGTTTTGATTCCGAATATGATGACCGCAAGGGCAAGATGCGGGCGGTGAACGTGTCCCTGGAAGGAGGCCGTAGTGTGGTGTTTTCTGCGACCGCCGTAGGTTTCGACAGACTGCACTTCTCGGTGGGGTAGGCGGTTCCGGGACCGCCGCGTTTCAAGCGGATGTTGTGGGTGGATGTTGGATGCCAAGCATGTGTTTTGTGTTTGGATATTTAAATGTTCAGACGATCACGGAATGCAATGGAATGCATTGTTTTGATACCCAATGATAATAGACCCAAGATACATTAGAGACGTGTGAAACGGTTTTGCAAGTGACCATGAAATCCCCATTTGAATCCTACAAAACACAAATAGCGTTTAAGCTGAATTCACGCTTGTGCAATGCAGTGCCACATGCACCACCCCTAAGAAACAATGGGTCACTGAGCACTGTGTGACCTTAACCGTTCATCGCGCAGGCGGCGGCGGTGGCGGCGGTGGGGGCTACGACGACCGCCGCGACGACCGTCGCCGGGATGACCGTCGCGACTACGACCGGCGCGATGACCGCCGGGATGACCGTCGCGACTACGACCGGCGCGATGACCGCCGGGATGACCGTTGCTCGGACGCAGAAGCTGGTTGTCGTACCTGTTTGCATTTTCGTTGGACTCGGAATGAAGTTGTCCTTAAAAGATTCATTAGGGATGATCAGAATGAAATAGTCCCAATAAATGATAATAAATGTAAACTTCAAGTTGGAACTGTTGTCTCTCTATGACAAAATAAGGCTATGGGCGGGATGACCGTGGCGGAGGCGGAAAGGGCAAAGGCGGCAAGGGCAACCTGGCAGCACCTATTGAAGTATCGTTGTGTTTGTTTCTCGATACATCCTGAATCTGAAAGACATTCATTGAGAGAGTTTCCCTTGAACATTGGGCCAAACAAATTGTCCTAACAACTTCACGGCCAGTACCACCTCGGACGCCTTGCACCATGTCTTTTCCACGTCGAAACTCTCGAATCCGCCGAGGTGGTGGGGATCGCTTCGGAGGTGACAACCGCGGGGACGACATTAGCAACGGGGGCAACCGACACTTGACGGCCCGCGAGCTCTTCATGAGGCGCCTATGGCCTCTATTCGTTCCGAACGAATGGCGAGCGCTCGAGAGGGCCATGGTTCCAAGGGGTCCTGAGTCGTGATATGCCCATATGCTCCATGGGACTGCCATACATGCCTATACATTGACCCCTCTGGCACCACCCCAACTATACCAAAGATCAAAAAGATGGGTCAAACACGTGTCACACGCAGTCAACCGCGCTCTCCCGTCCTTTTCTCCATGTGAAGGGTCGACCGTCCGGTTCGACCGTCCGGTAGAGTTCGGAGTTGGGTGCTTTTTGGGTCGTTCGCATGGTCAAACACATCACGAGAGCGTCACAAGAAGGTCGTCCTTCTTCGACGTCCCCAAGGTCGGAAGCGAAGAAGTCGTCGACGACCGGTGGCCGTGTTTCAAAGTCTCGGTGCATGTGGTTTTCACCTGTTGGCTTGAACTTACGTACCCTACACCTCCAACGACCTCCCGAGGTTCGGTGGTTGGGGTGGGTGCCAGGGAGGTCTAACCGAACCTGAGGAGATGGGACAGGAGCCCTAGGGGTAGATACTTCTTTTAAAGAACATGCTCAAGGCTCTTGACCCAAATCCCACGTTCTGTTTTCATGTTTGATTCAGGGTCGTGATTTGATCAAAGAGTTTGATTTGCTCGCGTGGTTTTGACGAAGTCAAAGAGCAGGCTCAAAGCTGAGGTTCCCAATCTCCTCCCAGATTTTGATGTGTGATCCGATTGGTTTAATTTGCTTTCTACAGATGCGTGACCAATTGTCTCTTATCTTTTGTACATATCACAACGCCAAGATTGAGACCAAACCTTAATTTAATATAATTTATTGTCTCATATTCTTTTCTACAATATGTGTATATATAGTATACCCTCGGAGTCAAAGGACATCAGAGGACTATTAATTCTAGTCGTTCCAGAAAGACGTTTGTTGGTCGATGGTCGATGGGAATCATGCCCATCACTGTCACCCAGATGTTGGTAGCAACTGCTTGCTCCCAGATCAAGCAATTCTTTTCCACTTGTCTAAGCTCGTCCCTGCGCCGGCCACCACAAACATGTTCCACCTCAGACAAGTTGCAAAAGAACCCATGGGCATCATGGGCACCATGCACATCATGGGCACCATATACTCATAGAGTTCTATCCAGGTAGCTGGCACACGTTCTGGCACACGTGTCCCACATCCTTGATTCAAAGCGTTCTCAAAAGCAGACCAAACACGCTGCACGGTCTTAGCAAAACACGCTGCTTGTTTGCACCTGCAACGACCTCGGTCAGGCATGAGCGCGAGAAGCGCAGCAGCCGTCGCTCCCCGAGCTCCTCGCGTTCGCGCTCACCACCGCCGAGGCCAGGGGTTGGAAGGACAGGACTGGTCAGAGAATCAGTATGTAACAGTATGCTACGTAGGTTGACCAGGTAAATGACCAGGTATACATGTATTTGCTTTGGGTATTCTGGTTGTGAAGCTTGTAAGATATTGATCCATGGTTATCATGGGTCATTCTTTGAGTGCCTCTCATCCAGTGACAGTGAAGTCTGAGCAGTTCCATGCAAACAAGAGTAAACAAAGTCCACCATCCTGGCCCTTCGTCGTCCCGTTCGGCTGCTTTTGCCGTTCGGGTGATGTTGACTTTCACGAGTGAACCGGGGTCCTGGGATCGATGGTTTGTTACGTTACTTCTTCGGCTCCTGTACAGCGAATCCAAGTGAAAACTCAGTATTTGTCAAGGGCTCCCCTCATTTAAAGACTCATGTTCTTGTACGATTTTGTACGTCCCCAAATAAATGCAGCATCAATTTGCCTTCTTACAGATAGCTTGCACCAAAAATACGCCCAAACGAGCTCAGACACCTCTCGCATCATCCTTCGCACGCACGTGGTCCGGGATTTCTTGGGACCCCACGCACGCGTCCGCGTCGGTAAGCCTCGCGCCAGGGAACGCGGCAGCCGCGCCAACTTCAACTGACAGAAAGAAAGATGCTTGGATTCCGATGCAGATGGGGTGCACACTTATCCATGATCGACGATTTTCATGACGTACAGCAAAGATGTTGGGCCTGGGTCTAGACCATTCTAGACCATCCTAGACCACTCTCATTCTTTTTCAGGTTGACCATGTGAATCCTTCAATATCCACTCCGTAAACTTCATAGCTGAGGGAGGCTGTTTGGAATGGATACTTTCGTACTGCGCGAGTTTTGGGCTGCTTTCAGCGCAGATCCACTGCCAGAGCTGTGACCTTCACCTTTCGTTCAGTCTCGCCCACTGAACCCTGAGCAGTTTTCAGGATCAATGTAGACTCTTGATTTGTAAACACCCCAAAAGAAAGGATGTCCAATTCATCTGGGGGGGGAGTTATGAATCGAGAGTCGATGTGATGTTGTTCTGGCGGTTGGACAGGGAATTAACCGCATCCCAGGCAGGACAGGGCGTGTTCTCACACCTTGAAAACATTATGATAAGCATCCTTATATATAAAGATTTATACATGTTTCTAAGTAAACATAGACATTTATCCTTCAGATCATCTTAAAGCAGTTGGATGAGTTGATTGACCTTGAGTGCAGCCCCAGGATCAATGGATGGAACAATAGCCGATGTCGCAGCTCGCCGGCGCAGCTGCTGTCCGCTGTCCAGGGCCGTAAATGACCGGTGATAGGCAGAGATGTGAGGGTCCACCCGAGCAAACAACTCTCCACTGCGCCAGCCAACACCATTGGGAAGAGATTCAGCGAGCAGGCCAGGAGGGGCCTAGATTCTAGCCATGTTGCGTTTGATAATGTTTGATAGTTTGATTGCTAAGAAGATCTTTCAGAGAAAGAAGCAATACTGAAGAACTCTGGCAAAGCAAAACATGGGAAACATGCTAAGTTTATAAACTCCCAAACATGAAACCACGAATCGCTATATGCTACAACGATCGTTTCGTGCAGTCTGCCAGCGCCGTCATTTGTCCTGGAAGCCGAATGTTGTCTGAACTCAAACAGAGTCAGTGGTCATGGCTGAAGGTGGCTCAAACCTTAAGTCATCACTTTTCGACTGACTCGGCTTATTTATGTTCAATTTCTTTTGTGCCCTCTTTGATGCTGCATGCTGGAAGACAAGCGGCCAGAGGATTGTTGTGATTGCTCTCAGAAAGTCATGTTCAGCCGGAGTACTGAAGTGCTTTCAGCGCAGCCAATATTCTGAAGCCAGCCAGAGAGCTCAGGGCTGTTTCTGGGTGCGAAAGCTTCAACGCCAATGCGATATGTCCATGTTCCTCTACGAACAGGTGTGATGTGTCTGTATGTCCATGTGATGTGTTTGTCGGAATGCGCTACACATTCTTGTGCTTGGGTCGAACACAGAGATGTCCCTCATTGGAGCACCACTTTGTTCCGACTGTTCTTTCGGGCGGGAAAGACGTGGGTTGCACTGCTGTGCCTGCCGGACTCGAGAGACATGCACTGCCATTGTTGGAGAGACATCGCAGAAGGACAACATGGGGAACTTAATGGTCCCAGACAGGTTACCTTCTCATGTCTGGTCGTAGGGAAACTAACCCTTGCCCTTCCAAAATCAAACGGCTCAGAGAGACTCGAGTCTGTTCCTAAACGAACTGGAAAACGTGCCATCCATCGCACGAACCATGGCCTTTTCGCTTGCTGCAACAGGTCCGAATCATGTTTCGTCCGAATCTGTCGGGTGCTGTCCGACCAGGTCGACCGGCCATGGCAAAAGCCGCGTGTTTCCACGGTTGGAAAAGCACCAGGCGAAGCCACCAGCGACGTTCGCAGGCGGAGGATTCCACCCCAAACTGCCCGGAGTCTCTCGTAAATCTACGAGCTCTCCCTGCGTGTTCAGCATGGCTCTTGGCGAGACGACCATGGAATTTCAGACATCATTTGGATGGTGGATGATTTGGAGTAGTAGTATGTAGTAGTAGCAGTATATAGCTTTGACAGAGCAGCAGATCCGGAGTCTAGACGGGCCATGACAGGAATGTCCTTCTAAGCTCTGCGGGATCAGTTCCTAAACTTCTTTGTAGCAAGATACAGGCAGAGCCGCGGGCTCTCTGAGAGTATTTCACTGAATCCAGGCTACATCACATCCTACAAATCTGAGACTCTCCGACCCCGAAACATGTTGGCCGCTCGTCATGCTGATCAAAACGCGCTCCTGCAATACTCGACGGATCAATGCGCAATGAGGGAAATACACGGTCAGTAAAAAGCGGTGCATAGCGGCGCCTGGGGGAGATGGCTCCCCCAACTAGTGTGGCTTGAAAAGGTTGGTGGCTGGGTTCTATTGGTTGGGCTGAAGGGGTTTGCCAGTGCAACATTGGCTTAGCTCAAATGTTCTCAAAGATGTTTATAGAAATTGATTGAGAAGTGCAGTCAGAGATTCTGAGATTCCATGAGCTAACAAAGCCTGACAAAAAACCTCCAGCTTTGGGACAAGAGGCCGCAGCTGAGTTGGACTTGTGACTAACTGGAAAGGAGAGGACCCTCAGCTCACTTCAGCAACCAGATGGGTACCAGGACCCTACACTAGGACCCTCCTGGCTGGACTAGGCCTAGGCCCTACACGACTATAGAGTTAATCTTAGAGGTGTCCAGTGGACACCCAGATGGTCGGATGCTCCAGGTGTTTGGAGTTTGAGGAGGTTTATGAGGCATTCCTCGCATCGAAAGCAACTCTTGGCGCCGGGTGTACTGTCTCTGACAGTGCGGAGGTTCGGTGTCCCTCGTTCGTCAGTGGGAGATCCCACCACCAAATGGAAGGTACGGTACGAGAGGCCGAGGCCACCTGGTTTTGGTTTTCAACTTGGTACCAAGTATCTACTGCATAGATCTGCTTGATTGACGGGTCTTTGGATCTCAGCAGTTCTTGTTTTCCCGCTGGTTGATTGGTTCATCTAAGAGGTTCGCAGGGTTCCGGCGCCGCGGGTGCTGCTAAAGCGACCCTCACGCAGGTACATGCTGAGAGCACTGGCTTCACATCTACTTGCTCCAGATCGACCCTCCCACGGTGCCGCGGTTTCTGAAGCAGTCTTGGTTTTCTGGATGAACTGGCCCTAGGGTGAAGTACAACACTTGCATCCTGGGAGTGCGTTTCATTGCGTTTCGACCTTTTTCCACCAGAAAGACCTCCATTTCAGCCACTCCAATGGCGAACTCATCACCCTTTGTGTCCGGCTGCTGGAGCGGCCCACATACCTCATGTCCGGCTGCTGGCTCGGCTTGAAGTGCCGGAAAGTGCCACTGCTTGCAGGTCAGGAAACTAGGCAACAAAACAGTTAATGGACACCCCTTAACACTATTAACAGCCAAGGCCAAGGCTATAAATACGATAAATAGACGCCCCTTGGAGGCTGGTATAGAAACCCAAGTTGAGGTCACTAGTCACAGGTCACTATAGTCACTACATGCAGTAGCTAATTATACGACTGCCTTGACGAACGGACCAAAAAGATCGGTCTCAGTCGCGCTGAATCGCGCTGAATCGGTTGCACCGCGACCGCTCGGCGTCCTCCCTCGCTGCAGGGCCCAGCTTCGCCTCGCATTTGGCGGTACTCATGGACGATGCACGAGGAGGTGCGGTGAGGGTCACGTGTTCTGACTTGTGTGTGGAGGGCGTTAGGTGAGGGTGACAGGCATTGGGTGAGGAACAAGATGGAAGAATAGGAGAGTCATGGATGATGAGAGTCATCATGAGAGTTATGTGAGCTGTGAGAGCATCAGTCTAAGTGTGATGTGGAAGTTCACCTGCCAGGGTTGCTAGGGTCATTGTTAGGAGAATAGGACTTGCTCTCGAGCAGCTCCGGCTCTCTTATAATGCAGCTCTGAAGAGGCTCCTTCACTCTGAAGTCTTCGAACTGGTCTAGCTTCCAGGGTCTTCTCCGAACCAGCTCTTTGTCCACCTTCAATGCCTTTCCGAAGCGTGGCTTCCTCCGTTACCCGGCCGTGGCGTACGCCGCTCTGGAGTCGCTGGTTGCTGCCGCTGCCTCGCAGGAGCGCAGCTGAAAGAGTTGGGCCGCTGTGTGCGTGGCATCCTGGGCCTTCAGGCGTGGCATCCAGATGGGTCGGGTCGGGTCGGGTGGGTCAGTCTCCTGGTCTGTCGGATCGGGAGGACGGGAGCTTCAAAGCTTCAAAGAGGTGTAGATGAGTGTGCAGAGATGTGCAGATGATGGAGAGTATAGCATACCAGATGTATACAGTTATATCATTTAGTTTGTTCTATACAGATGTATACAGTAGACAGATGTATACAGCTATATCAGCTATATCATTATCATTTCTTGACCATGGCCCAAGGGTATCCAAGGGCGCCAATACGTGTACCGCCTGAGGGCCCACTGAATGCTCGATTGGTTGTTTGACTGATTTGAATGACTTCAATGCCCAGGCTTGTAGCTTTGGGTACCTCTGACTTCGATGAAGCCACACACCCAAAAATGAGTGATGTTCCATGGTGTTCGCCCTAACTGGCTGCCTTAAAACCGGAGGGATGCGAGCCTCGCGTCGAACGGTTGCGATGCCTCGCCCTCTTCAGGCCGGGGATCCTGAAGAGCTCCGGAGCGTCAACAGGCGAGTCCGTGAACGGACCGGTTCACGAGCGCGTGGCCAGGGCCATCGCCGGTTCGGAGATGGGCGGTGATTCGGGCCATGGGAGACAGTCTGCGTCCGGGCCCATGGTTTTACCGCCGCCCAGTTACGCTTCAGCAATATGATTTACATTGGGGTGGTTGAAAAGGCGAAATTCCAAGATGGAATGATTCGGGTATGTAGAATTTGATGGATAGATCATTGGTGTGCAGTTCCAGATCAGAGTTCTGACCCTACCCCCCCGGTGTGATTGGTTTTGGGGCTTTGCTGGCCTTCTCTAGGAGATCTAGGAGAACTCATTGATTTTGTCTGCAGATGTCCTGTGAGCAACACAGGTCTTGTGGCGGCCACAAGCCCATTCCTCGTCCATGGTCCAACTCACAAAAACCTTTGGTGTTGGCTCTAAACATGTCCTTTTTCTGTGACTGTGGATATGTTTTTCTGTTTTTAAAGATGAAGTTAGCAGAGTGTTGACTCAATGTGGTTTCATCATGATTTCAATGTTCTGAGGTTCATGGCCAGACTTACTAGGCCTGCAATGTATATTGGATTAATTTGGATTATAGTGGCAATTGATCACCATCACCCAAAGACCACCCAAAGCAGGGACCTGTTGATACAGACCTGTTTGATCCGCTGTTGGCATATTTGAAGATGAATGTGTTGAATCGCTGTTGCATCGTCGGACGCATGGTCAGCCGGTACCAGCACAAGCAGATGAGGTTTGCTGAAGTAATGCAAGTCGATTGGCAGCTGGACGTAGCCTTTGCTTAGTGGCCATTGAAAAGCAGTTGAACCGTCATTTGCAATTTTGCAATCTCAAGAAATTATACCAACCAACAAAAGCAATGATGTGTGTGCCACAAATTCATAGTCTCACAATGTCTCACTGGCTCCTTCTAGAATCTTGTAGAGACTTTGTCACGACTTAGTCGTATCACTTCTTTGTCACAACATCCACAGGCACCACCGTCCTACGCTGTGAGCCGTCTCCGCAGTGAGCAAAGTCTCTCATTGCGCAACGAAGACGAAGACGCCGCAAGTCGGATGGCGACGCCCCACGTCCGAAGTTCGCGCCGCTTCTTCGTGCTGGTCTTGGCACTCAGTTTGTGCCGATGGCCCGGGCCCGGTTGCTT